CACGGCCCGCGTCGGCCCGCAGCCCCGCGGGGTCCGCGCGCCCGCCCTAGGCCGCAGGAAGCCCGGGGTCGCGAGCGCCCCGAAGGCCCAGCCCGCCGGCGGCGCCGAGCTCAGCGCGCACCTGTGGGCTCGTTACCAGGACATGCGGAGACTGGTGCACGGTGGGTGATGAGCAGCAGTGGGACGGGCGCTGGGGGTGCATCCGCGCGGCGGCAGGCTCGCGTCCGGGCGACAGACCGACCGGCCGTCCCGGGCGTCGCTCTGCGGGGAAAGCGCTCTGGTGGGGCTCGCTGGGGCCCCGGAGCCCGAAGTCCCGGCAGCTCTTCGGGAGAGGCTCCAGCGGGTCGTCCCGGGGGCCTCTGGGGCCGCCCCGACGCCCGGAGGCAGGTGGGCCGACGGGAGGTTTGTTCCCTGGCTCCGTCTGCAGGAGCTCGGGGATCCCGAAGCGGCCTCCGGAATGCGGAGCCCCCCCACCGTCTTTCCTGGCAATCCCGCCTGCCGGGAGGCTGCGGCGGAAATGCCCCCAACCCCTTGTTCTCTTAGGGGCCCTCAACTGGGGCGGGAGCATCTGGACAAAGCCAGCCGGCGTCGCTGCCCAACCTCAGGGGACGCGGACTAGACTTTGCAGACGCCTCTAGATTGCGACCCAGGTCCGGAGCACTCTCAGCCCAGGAGGGGAAGGTGTTGGTTGGAGAAACGAGACCAAGTTGCCCCAGGGCCCTGGAGTCCACAAGCGTGGCTGCATCCTTGGCCAGGACGCTTAACCTCCTGTACCCTCCTCTCCCGCCCTCTCTTCCCCATAAAAATGGGCTGAGGAGGCCAGAGAGCTCAGTAGATGTCCCCGGGTGTCCGGAGGCTCTGCCTCTGCAGCAGGCAGGCGTGGTTTGGGCTTGACCCTGTCACTGGCCAGCCAGGGCGTGCTCAGCAGGCCTCACCCTCTTAGACCTTCAGTGTCCACAGCATTAAACACAATCCTGGGCCCACTGCCACAGGGTTGTAGTGATGACTCAGAGGGAACCAGGCCAAGAAAGGGCAGGGAGCTTCCAGAGGAGCCCCCAAGGGTGATGCTGCTCTCATTGTCTGGTAAGACAAAGTGCCCCTGGCTGGAAGATTCCAGCTGAGGGAATGGGGCTTCCATTCTAGCCGTGTGGAGAGCTGAAAGGGACTCACCTGAGAAGCACGGGGCAGAATAGTTAAGACCCCTGAGGAACGGTGGTTCTGCAGGACCCCACCCTGCACCCCCTCAGTGGAGAGGACAGGCCTGGGAGGCTGTTTAAGAAGAGGTGTTTGCTCTGGGTCTGGAGAAGACCTGCAGAGCAAACTGAGGAGCCTGCCTTCTAGGTGTGGGAGAGAACATAGTGAGGTCTGTTGGGCTTTGTCACGCCAGGTGCACCAGCATCTTCAGATCTCCACAGAGACACCCAGGCTCCTCTTGATGGGAAAGGGGCAAGGTCATTTCCAAGATGCCGTGGTGAGTGCCAGGATGAGCCAGGCTTGCACCCCTGAGTCACCCCTCTTGACTGGGTTTTCTGGAGGAGATTCTGGGCATTGAGATACACCTTGGGCTAATGCCTGTGGGCAAGACTTGGCCAGGGAGCCAGGCCCCAGGCCACTGCCTCTCCACCAGCCAGCGTGGGGACGCTGGAAGGCTAGGCCTAGGGGGAGAGTTGATTAAGGCAGGTAGAGTGACCTCAACTTGAATCTCAACTCCATTGCCTACTGCTGGATGGTTTAAAGCAAGTGACTTCACCTCCCTGAGCCCATTTCTTCCTCTGGATGATGGATGAGTGTGATCACCTCATAGGATTGGAGTGGGGCCTGAACATGATGAGCCTCTAAGGCACCTGGCATGTGCACCCAGCGGCAGCTGGGAGGACGGCACCCACAGTGAGTCTCACAGCTGCCGTGGGGAAGAGTTGGCCCTGGAGCCTGGGGCAGGAGTGGGGCAGGCTTGGAAGAGGAAAGGGAGCGTCTGCACAGTGAGCCCAGTGAACTTGGGAGGCCAGCGCCAGCGAGGGGTACATCCAACTCACCCGGCCCCGTGCACCACCGCAGCCCTGTGGAAAGGAGTGGGGGCTTTGTGGCCCCCAGAGCTATGGTTTCCTCAGTCCAGAAATCCAGTCAGGAGGGCAGACCCTGTGGGCTGCTCCCCCACCCTGCTTTGTCCCTCAGAGGATCATCCGTCCCTGCACGTGGCCAGCACCCTGCCAGCAAGGGGCCACACCACCAAGCAGATCCCTCCCGTCTGGGGGTCTACTGGATATTGTACCAGGAGTTAGCGTTGGGACCCAGGAACTCAGGCCTGTGCAGACAGCAAGGCCCAGGGTCCTAGTGACCTCAGAGCGGCATCTCAGAAGCAGCTCCCTGGAGAGCTGCAGTCAGTGCGTCTCCTGTGCGTCCAAGCGAAGAATATTCTGTCTGCACCCACCAGTCTGCAACGGCTGCTCTGGGCTGGGCCCACGTTGGCCTCGGGCCCCGAGAGGAACCAGCCACACTTGTTCCCCCACCCACACCCTGCACTTGGCTCCAAAGGAAAGGGACAGGGTAGGGATGGAGCCTGTGTTCCAAAGGGGCCTCCAAGGCAGCTGGTCGGAGCATGGGAGCTCATCAGTGTCTGTCTCTGAGCACAGGGAATGCTGCGTGGCCCAGGGCTTCTGCTTCAAGATGATGCCTAGCTGTGGCTGAGACAGGAATTGCCTGGAGGCTTGGGCTCTTTGTGCGGGCCTCAGCCACAGGCTAGAGGTCTCAGGAATGGGGCTACCTGGAGCCCCTGCAAGGCGGTGCCCTGTGCACCTAGTCCTGCCTGCCCCCTCTCCGGCAGCCCCTAGTCCTTGAGTGATGCAGGGGAACCCGGGACAGGGAGATGCCGGGCTCCAGAGACGCATTGCCCATCTAATCCCACGTTTGCTGTGGGTGCAGAGCGGGAATGCTGCACAGAGCCCATTCCATATGACCCTCTCAGTAATTCCGTAAATTGGCATGATTTTGATTCCCCCTTTAAAGATAGGGAATCTGAGGCCCAGAAGGTGAGGTGACTTTCCTGAGGTCACAGCTGTGAGAGGGAGAGCTTGGCCTGGTCTGTCTGACCTCAAAGCCCGTGCCCTTTCTCCATCTACCTCCCCTCCTGTACAGATGGGGAAACTGAGGCAGATGAGCCTGGGACCCCTCATCCTCATCTGCCTCCCTGGGACCCTAGAGCCTACTCTGCACAGTGTCCCACTCAGCCCTCAGTAGCAGCCAGGGGCCTGGGGTGGCTCTGACCATATCCCGAGGGGGGAGCAGCCTGGTTTCTTGCCCCATAGCCCAACATCACACGTCCTGCCTATCATAATTAGCAATGTTCCCTGGCTAGAAGCAGCAAATGTCATTATGCAGACTGGCGGGCAGCTGAAATCCGATTAGAGGGGCCACAAGCTGTGGCAGGTGCTGGGAGTGCGAGTGACAGAGGAGCTGCCCAGTACCCCCCAGTCCCGTCATGTTTCTCAGCCTCAGCCCAGGTTGCAGGCAATGTGGAAAGGGTCTGAGCGTAGCCATCACTCCGATGGGGCTTATGGGAGCCTGGAGGAAACCTGGACTCGGTGTACCTGCTGGGCTGCAGGCAATGGTGTAACCCAAGACCCACAGCTAGGAGCTCCAGCCGGGCCTTGGCCCATTGCCAGCTCTGCCTTACCCCAACCATGTGACCCTGGGCAAGTGGCCTCTCTGAGCCTCAGTTTGACCATATGCAGCCTGGGGCTAAGATTACCCATCCTCGGTGGTTTCATGAGGCTCCCAGGCCTAGGCACCTGGAAAGCGCTCAGTAACCATTTGCTGCTACTGTGTCCGTCCTCCTCCTCATACCTGCATCTCCTCCCTCCAGACCTCCTGCCCCCCGAGGTCTGCAGTCTCCTGAACCCAGCGGCCATCTACGCCAACAACGAGATCAGCCTGCGTGATGTTGAAGTTTACGGCTTCGACTACGACTACACGCTGGCCCAGTATGCAGACGCGCTGCACCCTGAGATCTTCAGTGCTGCCCGTGACATCCTGATTGAGCACTACAAGGTGAGGCCGGCCAGGCAGGTAGCCCCGGCGCTGGAGAGATCCCAGGCGGAGTCATGGGGGTCCCCTGAGGCGGCTGCCCCCGCCAGAGGTCTGGTAGTGCTCCTGGCTCAGGCCTGGCCCACTTGCCCCCGACAGTACCCAGAGGGGATCCGGAAGTATGACTATGACCCCAGCTTTGCCATCCGAGGCCTCCACTACGACATTCAGAAGGTGAGTGGCTGGGCCACAGACTCCAGCGGCCCCTCTTAACTAGATGTGTACCGGCACTACGTCCTCTAACGGAGGGGCCGCCCCCTTGGCCTCAAAGCTGTAGCTTCCTCCCGACGGGCACATGATCCCCTCGGTACCTTCCCATCGGGGCTTGGGCACAGAGACCGGCTCAGGGCCAATGCAGACCCCTTTCTCCCCACCCATCCCACTCCTCTGGCATTCCCAGAGCCTTCTGATGAAGATTGACGCCTTCCATTATGTGCAGCTGGGGACAGCCTACAGGTCAGTGCAGACTGCCCGGCCTCACTCTGCTGTCCCCCCACCCCCAACTATACTGTGTCCTCGGCTCAGGACCACTTTGGACTCATGATGTCTGCACACCCACCCAGGGGCCTCCAACCTGTGCCTGATGAGGAGGTGATCGATTTATATGGGGGCACCCAGCACATCCCACTGTACCAGATGAGCGGCTTCTACGGCAAGGTACTCACTCCATATGCCTCCGCCGCGGGCGGCCAGCGCAGTGATCTCACTACGGGGGCCCACACCATGGTGGGCCTGCCCTGACCCGCAGCCCGTGCCCCTCTACCAGTATGGCAGGGCAGATTCAGAGCCCTTGGTCTCCAGGGCTGGGGGGGGTGGGGCGGGGGCTTGCTGAGGTGGTGGTCCCCTCTGCAGGGTCCCTCCATCAAGCAGTTCATGGACATCTTCTCGCTGCCGGAGATGGCCCTGCTGTCCTGTGTGGTAGACCACTTCCTGGGGCACAGCCTGGAGTTTGACCAGGCGCACCTCTACAAGGACGTGACGGTGAGGACCTTTGGCCTCTCAGGGTGGCAGGAAAGGTAAAGTCGGCCACAGCAGGGCCCGCTTCCTAGGCCCCACTGCACCCTTACTGTCCCTCCGCTGCCCCCAGGATGCCATTCGAGACGTGCACGTGAAGGGCCTCATGTACCAGTGGATCGAGCGGGATATGGGTAAGGGTAGACCGTGGCAGCCCCTACTGCAGCTTCCTGGGCAGGGTGCCGGGCTGGCCCTCACAGACCCATCTCCCCATTAGAGAAGTACATCCTGAGAGGGGACGAGACATTCGCTGTCCTGAGCCGCCTGGTGGCGCATGGGAAGCAGCTGTTCCTCATCACCAACAGCCCTTTCAGCTTCGTGTGAGCTGCCCGCTGCCCGCGGTGGGGAGGAGGGAGCAGGTGGGCTGGGGGAGGGGCCTCCCTCCGCCCCGCCCCACCCCCACCCCACCCCATCCCCCTGCTCCCTGTCCCACCTCTGCCCCACCTCTGCCTCTGCCCAGGGACAAGGGGATGCGGCACATGGTGGGTCCCGACTGGCGTCACCTCTTCGACGTGGTCATCGTCCAGGCAGACAAACCCAGCTTCTTCACTGACCGGCGCAAGTATGGGCCTAGCAGGGGTGATGGGGCCGGGGCGTGGGGACTGGCCTTTGCTCAGCACCCTGCGTGCTTGGGGTAGAGACACCCCCTTGTCGGCCAATGGCACATGTGAGCAGGTGGGGAAGGTGCCTGCCGCCCCCCCCACCAGTCCTGTCCCACACGGGAAATCCAGCCCTTTACCGTCCCCTCCCCACCCCGCACCAGGCCTTTCAGAAAACTCGACGAAAAGGGCTCCCTGCACTGGGACCGCATCACCCGCCTGGAGAAGGGCAAAATCTATCGGCAGGTGAGTGCCATCTGGGTGGCCTCGCCACGGCCCCAGGCTGTGGAGGGGACAGAAGCACAGCCTCCTGGGCCCTGCCCTGCCACCACACATCTGCCGTGCCTCTGCCCCCTCGCACTGCGTCCGGGGGCACCGGGGAACAGCTCTCGGCACAGGCCTGGTCAGGCTGCCTGTGTTTGAATTTCAAGCTTACTACTCCACAGCAGAGGGAGTCTGACCGAGTCATTTGGCCTCTCTGTGCCTTGCTTTTCCTCATCTATAAAAGAGGTATAATGTAAATAAAAAAAGTGTTCTACTTGAATTGTGGTAGAAAGCCCTTAAAGTCGCCAGGCATTTACTAAAACCCCCTAGATGATCAGTGGCACTAGTACTTGGGGCTGACTGCTCTGCTGCAGCCAGACGAGCTGGTAGGAGCCCCTCACGGGCCTTTGCGGGAGACCCCCTTTCCTAGCTGGTGTCTAGGAAGATGAGAAGGGGGCCTAGTGCTGGGGTTTGGGTGGCAATTAAGGAGCAGGATTAAGGCATTTGGCCCTGGATGGAATGCGGAAATCCTGGCTGAGCTGGTCTCCGTGAGGGTGGAGGTTCCAGGGGCTGGGGGAGGGAGGAAGTCAGTAGTGGGGTCAGGGGAAGCACTCGGGGGTATCCAGAGCCGAGGCCTGGCCTGCAGGCAGTACTCATAGCCCCGTGGCCCCCAACTCTGTGGCCCCCTTGGGCGCAGGCTCTTTCCTTTGACTTTGAGGGGGACGTGCTCCTGTGTCTTGGCATCTTAGCCTGAGGAGGGTCACGCAGCTTTGTGGGGAACATGGGACTTTTTCTCCTTTGGCAGCTTTTAGCCTTTTCTTTGTGCCTGACAATCTGAAGTTTCACTGTGGGTGTGCGCTGGATCCTGCTTGCTTCTCGTCTTTCTTTGCGCTCCCTCCCTGGCTCCCCATGCAGGAACCCCAGGCTCCATCTTGCCTGACGCAGCTCCTGTACCTCCAGATTGTCTCTCACTTCGGGGCCCATCCGCGGCACTCCGCCCCCCTCGTACTTGACTCCCCACCTGAGCTTAATTCGACAATTAAGCCTTTGGCAACCACCCGTGGCCGCTGTGGCTGGCTTCCCCTGGCCACGGCAGGCACGGGCTGCTGTAGTAACCGCTTCGTGCTGCGTGCGGGTTCTGCTCCCTGCTGCGGGGTGGGCTCCTGCCCGGCGGCTGCTGCACTTCCTGCCCTGGGCCCCCTGCCCCGCTTTTGGCTCTCGCAAGAGCTCCCTCTGTCGTGTTTGAGCCTGACCGCTTTCATCTCTGCTCTGGCTCTGGAGCAGGAGGGGCAGATGGCTTCGCCAGGAGGTCTGCCGGGTCCCTCTGGGCTCACGCCCGGGAGGACAGGAAGGGCTCTGGGGCCATGGGCTTGCTGCTGTGGTTTGTTTCCCACAGCGTGGGATCCCTGGCGTGGGTGTGAGGCCACAGGGAGGGGAGGCCCTGGAGGCACAGGGCACCGTGCCGGGCCTACAGGAGGCTTTCCTGGGGTGGGCAGACCCCCTTCCTGACTGTGAGGGGGAGGAGACAAGGGTCAGAGCCTGGGGACAGTGAGGCCACGGGAAAGAGCAGCCGGGCGTCCAGCTGGAGGGGCCTCGCTGCCTCTGGGGATTTGGGAGGAGCAGCGGAGAACAAGGCGGGGTTCTGGCAGCCCCACGGGAGCCCCTTGGTACACTGCGCTCGGCGGTGCCCCCTCCCCCACTCTCCCCAGGGAAACCTGTATGACTTCCTGCGCCTGACAGAATGGCGTGGACCCCGCGTGCTCTACTTCGGGGACCACCTGTACAGTGACCTGGCGGTGAGGGGGCGAGGCTGGGCCCGCCCGGTGAGGAGGGCGGGAGGGAGGGAGCCCCGCTCGCCGCTGCTGAAGCCCGCCCCCACCCTGCCCTGCAGGACCTCATGCTGCGGCACGGCTGGCGAACGGGGGCCATCATCCCCGAGCTAGAGCGCGAGATCCGCATCATCAACACGGAGCAGTACATGCACTCGCTGACGTGGCAGCAGGCGCTCACGGGGCTGCTGGAGCGCATGCAGGTGGGGGGGCAGGGGCGGGGGCCGGGGGGGAGGCAGGGCTGCCGCCTGGGCTCACCCCCCGCACCCCCTTGGCTCCTGCAGACGTACCAGGACGCCGAATCGCAGCAGGTGTTGGCGGCCTGGATGAAGGAGCGGCAGGAGCTGAGGTGGGCAGGGGAGGGTGCAGGGAGCGCTTCCAGCCCTATGGCTCCCAGGCCCCCTCGAGCGCCCCATGTCTCCTCCTCAGGTGCGTCACCAAGGCCCTGTTCAACGCCCAGTTTGGAAGCATCTTCCGCACCTTCCACAACCCCACCTACTTCTCCCGGCGCCTCGTGCGCTTCTCTGACCTCTACATGGCCTCCCTCAGCTGTCTGCTCAACTACCGTGTCGACTTCACCTTCTACCCGCGCCGCACGCCCCTGCAGCATGAGGCGCCGCTCTGGATGGATCAGCTCTGCACCGGCTGCATGAAGACGCCCTTTCTTGGCGACATGGCCCACATCCGCTGAGGGCACCTTTATTGTCCAGAGCAGGTTCTAACCCCTCCTGCCCCGCCCACGCTGGGTGTCGGTCCAGGACGGGCAATAAAAGTGGTCTCCCTCTCCCTGTGCCTCTGTCCGGCCCTAGCCGCATCACTTGACCGCGAGGATCCTCTGGGTGTCAGGGAAGTCGTCCTCCAGGAGCGAGTCCTGGGGGGTGGGGAGAGGACCCTTTGTGGCTGGGCCGAAACCAGGCCCTGGGCCCCTTTCTACCGCCCCTGACACCCCACACTCACGTCAAAGGGCTCACAAAAGGCATCATGGCTGCCAAAGACTGGGTTGGGGACAGACACCAGGGTTGGGCTGGTCCCTTCCTGCCAGGGGGAGAAGTCTTCCTCAGCATCATCTTCCGCCTGAGAAGAGAGATGAGTGGTGAGGGGCCTCCAGCAAGATGGACGGACCCAGACACCTCCAGCCCCCCCACCCCAACGCAACACGGCCCTACCTGGAAGGTGGAGAAGCCAAAGCCTGTGGCCTTGCCTCGAGCGCGGAGGTAGAAGGCTCCAGCCACGAGGCCGAGCAGTGCTCCAGCGGCTACCACAGCCCCCACGCCTGCCACCACAGGCGGAGCCTCGGCTGCCACCACTGCCCGCTGTAAACGAGGGGAGCGTCAAGGCCAGACAGGCCAGGGCTGTCCCCTCACCCCACCCCCGCCAACTCACAGGCTGTAGGGGGGCCAGGAGGGGCCTGGCCAGAGCGTGGATGATGCCGTTGAATGCCATGATGTCCCACACGACGACATGGCTAAGCACAACTGCCCCTGGGGCCTGTAGGGAGACCAGAGTCAGGCCTAGTGGGTGAGTGACGGCTGGGGCCAGCGGGGGAGGTGCGGTGGCCACACTCACCACCGGGGCCCAGGAACTGTTGTCAGGGCCCGCAGCACTGAAGACGAGGCTGAGGCCCGAGTGGGCAGGGAGCACAGTGTCCTGGCTGGCATTGGCACTCAGGAAGGTGGTGTTGGAGGCGTGCAGCTCCAGGTCGGGGCCGCTCAGCGTCTGTGGGCAGAGCAAGGCCTGTTGGCCCAGGCCAGCCCGAGGGGTCAGCGTCGGGCCTGGCTCTGCCCACAGCCCCTGCCAGTTACCATGTTGTCCAGGAAGCCTTCATTGACAGGGACGAAGAGTGTCTTGTAGGTGAGCTCGTCATCCAGGAAGTCCAGGAAGTCCAGACCCCGCGGGGTGGCGTTGGCATAGCCCAGCAGCATCTGGGGGTGCGGGGGGAGATAGGACCATGGGCTGGCTCCCTCCCCAGGGACCCCAGCTACGCCCCTGCCCCCGCCACACCCTCAGCCCTAAGGCTGGGCCCCCGCACACCCCATAGAAGGTGGAGAAGTTGGCGGTGGCAGCCAGGACATCGAGCAGCTTCCCATTGCACACGCTTGTCCCGTCACCCACAAAGCCGCGGCGGCACCGGCAGGCCACGTCTGCGGGAAAGGCAGTTCGGGGGGGAGGGGTCAGCGGGAAGG